ATCTTCATTGTTCTCCTGTGTGGGACATTACTATGCTGGCCTCAAGTATTATTTTCAAGAGGTTCATAAACAAAAATTGTGTACTCAGATCACACACACTGGAGTCTTTTGAATATTTTGGGTAAAATACCTGTCCTTAAAGGACCTCTCAGTGACTTATTCTTTGCAAGGCAAATAATTGCATACAGTGAACTGAAGTACAGTTTTGTAAGTTTGGAACGGGCCTCTGATCTCTGAGAGCCTTTCACACAGCACATGTTAAACTGTGCACTGAACTAACCACTGGTGTACAAAACCATCTGTCTTTTCTGTGTATGCAGCTTATACACTTTGATTTCCAGAGAAATGGAATGGTGCATGCAGCTTATGCTCTTTGATTTCCAGAGAGATGGAATAGTTGCAGAAGGTGCAGTCCTATGGAGTGTTGTGCTAAAGCTATCTTTGGGAAGGGTAATTTTGGTCATAATATCTGACTTTACTATGAGTTTATAATAATACTGTGGCTATGAAAATGAAATGTAGGATTTGGAGTAAGTCTGTAACAAAGGAGGTTTGGGCTGAAATATCATGTTTATATTTGGTCAGTTTAATTTCTTGTTTAGTTTGTAGCTTGAAACTGAAACTGCACAAGCTGTTGATTTTATCAATTATACCAAGATTTCCGTTTGAAGGAAAAGAGACAATATGCAGGAAATAGACTGCTGGGAAATAGATGCTGAGTATCTTTAAAAATGAAAGAAAATCATTTTAACATATTACTTTTCTTGGAAGATTTACTTTATTGGAGCAAGTGGTACTTTTCTGTACCATTTGTGCTTTTTAGTATATGTATCAATACTTGCATAAAATATGTTGATATGGATGGAAAATAACTCCATTTGATTGCAAAGTGTCATGAAGTGAAGAGTTATGCCCTGACAGAGGCCTGCTGTGTCGTGCAGAGGGACATAGGCGAGTCTCTCACAACCAGGTGGGTTGTGTCAAGAGTCTGAAAGAGCTGGCCAGTGTCATTGCGTGGACAGTCATTTGTTTAAAGGTCCTGGTGACTGGGGTGATTCTTGGTGACTGGTAAAAGGCACGGATGGCCATTTGCAAGAAGGTCGAGAAGGAGGGTCCAGGGACTACAGGTCGATCAGCGTAACCTTAGGCCCTGAGAATATTAGGAAGTATGTCCTGGAAACTGGTTGGAAGGATAAGAAGATGATTGGGATCAGTCGACAGGGATTTATCAAGGACAAGCCAACCAGATATCTTTTGATGAGAAGTGAGTGACTGTAGGGATGAAGTGAAGATGGTGGGTATTATTGGCTTTGACTGTTTAGACTTTGGACACAGTTCCCCACAGTATATTTTACAGCTCAACTGAAAAGACTGGTGGGTTAGGAGGTAAGTTGGAAACTGGCTGGGCTCAGAGGTTTGATCACAGGTATAAAAAAAAATCTCATCTATGATATATTAGGAGTGGAACCTCTCAGGCATTGATGCAGGAAAGGATCTGAAGGTCCAGCTGGATAAGGAGTGTGAGTTGTCAGCAAACCTTTGCAGAAGTTAAGACCAACCTCACACTGTGCTCAGCATTTTGAGAGAAATTATTATTCCTGTACTGTTTGTCACTTAGGAGACTCATCTGGAATGTTGTATCTAGGTTGGGGTCTAAGTTGAATATTGATATAGCAGAGTTAGCCCTATGGAGGGACACCAAGTTGCTAAGGGGGCAAATGTGAGTGACGTAAGAGAAGCAGTTAAGAAAGCTGCATTTGTTAAATCTTAGAAAGGGAAGCCTAAGAGGGGATCCTACTGCAGCCAAGTACAGAGGTGGCCTCTTCTCAGAAATGTGCACTGAAGGTGTTGGAAGCTATGGACAAAAACTGCAGCAAGGGAAATGTTGAGTGGATAACAAGGAAAAGATTTCCACAGTGAGAACAGTCAAGTGTTGAACAAGGCTATCTGGAGGGGTTTTGTAATCTGTGGAAATACTCGAAACTATGTATGATCCTGTACCTTCCCTAATGTTGAAGTATATTTTTTATTTCTTTTTCTTCACTAAGTACACTGAAATATCTTTTGTTTTTCATTTTTGCTGAACAGACTTCAATGAAAGAGTAACAAAACTAGTTAGTGTAAATTGCTTCAAAAATTCATGGAATTATACTGATAACATTGTGTGCATGGGAACAAACTGGGTCATTCTCTACTTTTATTTCATCAAAGGATTTAAAATTTCAGGTGTAATACATTAAAATAGACTTCAAATGAGAGGAGCTTTGAGAGCCTATGAAATTAAAAATGGCAATTGTGCTGTTTACAGATGAATGGTGTGGTCCAGGATGATGAGGTGGATCCAATGAAAGGGAGTGTTTCTAGCTGGCTCTCCTCCTGTTCTCCCGGGGGCAAAGTGTACTCGTTTGCCTTTGGCCAGCCTCAGCCCAGCCTTCAGACAGGCTCTGAGCCTTCCAGAATCCGGACCTGTGGCTGGGGTAGGAGGCAGTCTGGGATTTCTGGTTTGGGCCCTTTCCTAGGGAGATGCAGCTGACCATGACTGTTGAACCAGGTGGCTGCTCTTGCTACAAAGTGTTTGAGCAATGCAGGCTGTGGACAAGGAATTTCAAAGCCTGGTGTTGGTCCCTCCGGGTGCTTATGCTGAGAGCATGTACTGCCCCTTTCCCTGCTTTTTGCTGTACTCTGATATAATGTGTGCATGAAATTCACGCTGTAGCAAGGAACTTATCCTTGCTTACAAAACACGGGAAAGACTCTGCAAGCCATATTAAGTCATAAATGTGCTCAGCCCTGATAGACTCACTTGTTTCCTGCTGCAGCTGACAATGGGGTTTCTTGTGCATGACCAAAATATTTCTTACCTACCGTAAAACCTTCTCATTCTAGTTCTGTTCAGAAATGTTACATTCCAGAGTGCCAGATTAGCCAGCCTTCCGTGCAGTATATCCTAGGCTGTACCAAAAATATTATAGTGTACAAACTTTGAGCCTTTATATTTTTGGAACTTAAGTTTAAGTTCTCTTATTTGGTTTTTTAAACTGTACATCAGATGTTTAAGATGAAAACATTTCAGTCAAACTTAATAAACTGATCAACTTCACTTTTAAGGGATGTGCAAATTGTATAATGGACTTTCTGATGCATGTCAAACTGTGCCATTTGCCATATGGTCATTGAATAGCTAAATAAAAGTATTTTTTTGGTTGACAAATAGTGAGTAATAAGGTTTCATTATTATACTTTAGGTGTATTATTGAGTGGTAGTAGTATTTTTTTTAAACTGGGAATTGTATGCCTTTAATATGTATTTGGAAGACGTGATTGTCATTGTTTTTTCAAATGTCTCTAAAGCAATGGTGTGTCAGGGAGATAAAAAACCAAACCAGGCGTCTGTTTTCCCCTTCCTTATGTTTCAAGGAACCAGCATATTTGGCTAGCATGTATCAAAGCTATATCTAGAGTTGTGAGGCTAAATTGAGCAGAAGGTGCGTAGTTTAGGCAAAACCAAAGGCGTGTGAAGAGGCATAAAGGTGCTCTTAAGAGAAGATGCATGCAGAAAGTGACACTTCAGATTGTTGTCTGATCTGGAGATCAGGAGAAGCTTTAGTGGTCCCCTTTTCGGTGGACTTTGGGAATGGAACTGACACTACAAATTTAAGATTGATGAATTTGACAACTGTGATCAGATGAAAATTAAGCAGGCTGGTAACCAGGCGGCATCTCTGGTGTGATTTGTCTTCATCAGGATGCTAAGAACTTTTCCAGTAGTGCTTAAACAGTAAAACATAAGTGAATGGTAGTTGAGAACAAATAAATGTTGAGCTTACCATGGATATCTCTCCCAGCACACTATAAAAAACATAAATGGAAAAATGAGTGCTCCGTTGGTGCTTCTGTTATTTTGTCTGGTCTCTTAACTTTCTCTTGAAGAAATTGTGGTTTAAGAATCAGCAGTTAACTGGAAGTTTTAAGGAAAAAAAAAGTTCTAAGTTTTCGTCTTTCTACTTGGTAGGACATGTTACAGGACAGTATTGGTCCTTATAGCTTACTGTAGAATGGCATTGTGCTGAAGTTTGCTATAATTAAAAGATAATGCTGATTCATTTATACTTTCTGAAATATATATATTTCCTGAGGGAAAGCTTTTCTTCTACAGTAACATTGACTTCTGCATGCCCTGGTCTTTCTGTCCCTTTTCATAACCTCTAGGGACAGCGCTAAAGGTGATGAGCGCTTTTCTGACTGATAACTTTTTGCCTTTCTCCTTTCTAAAAGTCTATTTTATTTATTGATATTACATATTTGGATTATTCAGACATTGTTTGCAAGACATGACCAGGTCTTTTCAAGTCCAAGATTTTTACAGCACTCTTCTCACTAGAGGAAGAACTAACACATTTCAGTAAAATAAGTTTAGTGGCCCTGGGTAGAGTAGAGGATGACCAGTCTCTTAGGTAAGCCCTAAGAAACTGGGAGAGTGATGAAAATGGACTTTCATACTTTCAGACTTGGGATGGTTGGAGCCTTAACAAGGTCTGAGTGAAATCTACAGACAAAATATGAATGGCGATCAAAGACATCATGAAGGACATGTGACTTCAAACAAATAAGTTAATCCAATATCAGTATTCATATTTGAAACCAATTTTTTGGTAAAGTGAATATCAGAAGTATATTTTGTCATGTTCAGAAAGCTACATAAAGCTTTGGAATCAAGTGCTGCTTTTTAAGGAGGAAGGTGAGAATACTGACTTTAGGTTAGTGTTCTAATTCTTTATATCTTAAAACTAATGAGGCTTGATTCTACAATGAACCAGGCTGGGAAAAGATAAATTGAAAAGTAAAACAAAGTACTACATGACTTGTGATAAACCTGAGTACTGGATGCTGTGTTTGCTTTGATTAGTTTCTATTTAAAATTCAGGCAATGGCTGTGTCCACTGAAACGGTAGTGAAATAAAATGATTTCTAATATTTCCTGTCTTTGGTTTTATTTACAGATGACATGGCAGAGCTTCTCCTTGGGGAGTCCAAACTAGAACAATTTTTGAAGGAAAATACTCTTAAACAGAGTAGTAGTCCACGGGGCCCCCAGCCAAAACTGACTGAGGTCAGGAAACATCTCACGGCAGCTCTTGATAGGGGAAATCTAAAGGTATGTAAATCAGCCTGAGCAAGAATTAGAAAAGTTGAAATTGTAGTATTGAGGAAAGGTTCCTTAAATTGTATTTGGAGGTGCAGAAATTGAGGTTAATATCTGAGAGCATTTTCTGTCAGAACCTTTTGATGCTCTTAACCAATTTGGCCCTTCTTAACTGTTGTTGTAGCTGCTACATCAACTTATCTCTTCTGTACTCAACATCCCTCTTTTGAGAGATTAAAAGAAGCTTGTTTTACAGTCATCTATAACATTTTGTTTCCTGTGGTTTCTGGGAGTATTAATTTCTCTTCCTTTTCTTTCTTTATTCATCCATTAATCTTCTTTTTCAAGACATTTATTCTGCCCTGATACTTTGAACTCATGTGAATTAAATATGTAGACTGTGGAACATATATCATTAAGTTTTGATGCCATGTTGATTTTCAACTGTGCTTATGGTGTTAGAGAAAACATTGGAGGGGTTGTAATGATAGGCTACCTTTAAATAGTTTTTTGTGGATTCCCCCCTACCTCAAGCTTCTCAAATATTACAAGGGACAGAATTTTGTTGGTTTGTTGCTCTGTTAGAAGAAATATCCTACATGAATATATACAGAAAACACATCTAATAATTATTGGAAGGAATTAGGTGTGTTTTCTGAGGAAAAACCCTTTCTTATTTCTCTTCTTTCTAGCCAGAATTCCTACAGGAAGCTAACCTAATTATGGCCAAATTGAACTATGTGGAAGGTGATTATAAAGAAGCTCTGAATACATATGCCAGAGTTGGCATTGATGACTTGCAGCTCACTGCAGTGCCACCATATAGGCTACGGATGATTGCTGAAGCATATTCTACAAAAGGTAAGATTGCTCTTTCCAGTATCATAATGTGTTTTAAAACTTAATTTATATCTTGTCTGAAGTTGAATTTTTTTAGTGTGAATATCATCAACACAGTAGTGGAGTACCATATTCATAGATGAAATAAGAGGATGGCTTGGGTCCTTTAAATTATTCAGAGTTTGTGCTAGGTTGACAGGACATGTACCTCAATTAATATTCTGACTGCACTGTCACCTGATCAATTTTTTTGAGTGTGTGTATTTAAAAGTCCTTCTGTATATAAATGTCACAGTAACTGTTGCTAAATACTAAAAGCATTATAACTGTTGCTGAAAGTTAAGAGTTACAAAAAGCGGTGCAGTTTTGTGGTTGCTGTGGGTAGAATGGAGAACCTTAATTCACTGTCATGCCTTTTACCGAATGTTAAAATGCTCAGCCTAAGCTATGTCGCATAACTAAATCGCCACTTAATTGAGAAAGGTAGTAATGTGTGACTTGGAAGTTTTATTTTTGAAATTTTCTTATATGTATATAGTTTTTTAAAAACAGAAGTGAAGTTAATTAAAAAGTATTTTGTTTTTTACTGGTCTAGTATAATTGTAATACTGGCCTTGTGTCTTAAGGTGGCAGTGCCACTTCAATTTAGAAAACTGTAATAGACTTCAAGCTGGGTCAGTGTGTTGAGGAAAGTGTCAGTTTGTATGCCAGAGGTTTATTAAAATCTACTGAGCTAAATGTTTGCTTTGGTCTGTTGTGTTTAAGCTTGGGTTGGGTTGCACATGTTCTTTTTGTTAAGGCAAGAGGAGTGTCAAAGGCAGCAAACAATTTGTGAGAGACTTCAATAGTGTTAACTGACAACTGATCAAGGATTGTTTCTAATGTTAGTGTTGGAAGAAAGTGACTGATTTCCACCAACACAGTCCTCTAGTAAACGTTAGACAAGCATGAATCATGCTCTGTAGAGGTGTCAAGGAAATAAGGGAAGTAACTGGTAGCAGAGACAGAAGGATGCTTCATAAGTCTGGTCACTATTTAGATCACAGTGGGAAAGGAGTATATAGGGAGTTCTTCTATATGATGTGAGTCTGCCCAGTTTTCTCACACAACATCTGTGTGGGCTTCTGAGCAATGTCTGGTTTGGGTACACTTCCACTCAGCCTTGTGGATTTTGGCTGGGTTTTTTTGTCTTGTATTGTTTTTTAAGTGTGTGAGGATGAATGTTGAATTTGTCATGTTCTTTCCAGGAAAATGCAATCTTGGACTTGATCAACTTTAAGTACCTAAATTTGCTTATATCTCCAAGGAATCCCAGTAATTCAACTGAATCTTTTCCCAGAGCTCAACTCTTTGTTTTATTTGACCTCATAAGGATATAAAATGGTTGAAACATAGTGGCATAAATTTTGCAGAAAATATTAATAATTTTACTTAATTTAAATATAATGTATGCAAAAATAGAAAAATATGTATCTTTTCTACTCTGGAATGTTTTGTTGGTTCGGGTTTAGAGATTAAAAAAAGAGATAAGAAAACCAGCATATGAAGCCTTATTTATCTTGATTGGATTTTGCTAGTTTGGTCACTTCTACTGGGTGACTCACTACCAGTTTACCTGAGCAAACCAAGCAAACTGTTGGGGTTTTGTCGTTGTTTTGTTTGTGTTCAGAAACATCCTTTTTTGTTTCCAGTTTAAATGGAATTGAAAGGGATCTTAAAGATCATCTAGTTCCAAACCCCCTACCGTGGGTAGGGGCACCTTTCACTAGACCAAGTTGTTCAGAGCCCCATCCAACCTGGCCTTGAACACTTCAGGGGTGGGGCATCCACAGCTTCTCTGGGCAACCTAACCTGTTCCAGTGTCTCACCACCTCCCATAGAGAATTTCTTCCTGATATGTAACATAAACCTGCCTCCTTTCAGTTTAAAGCCATTCCCCCCTGTCCTATCCCTACCTGCCCTTAGTCCCTCTCCAGCTTTCTTGTAGGACAGTTTAGGTACTGGAAGGTGCTCTAAGGCTCTGTTGAGCCTTCTCTTTTCCAGGCTGAGCAACTCCAACTCTCTCAGAAGATTCATAAATTTTAATTTCCCTTATTCCCATGGTAGAAGATTGCAAGAATATAGTCCTTTGTATGTTCTAGAATGAGGTGGTAATCGCAGAGCAGTCTTAAATTTAGTATTCAAAGTCTAGACAGGTTTAGAGTACTTAACAACTGAATAACATATGCTTCTACCCAGTAGTGTGCATTTATTTCTCACTCTCTTTCCCCTTCCGGCTAGATTTTCTTCTTTATCCTTGTAAGAGTGGACTATAAACTTTATAGTCTGAATTTGGAGTCTCTTCAGAGGTGATTGAGGTTTGTAGCTATTACGAGTTATTCTTACAGGGATTTTGTGCTTCACTTGGATTTGTATTTCTTGTTGTAAGTTCAAGGACAACTGGATTATATAAAGGTAAAACTCTTCAGGGTACGTAGACTTATTTCTTTGGCAGTCATAGCACCATGATATTTAGCAGTGAGGGACTATCTGCAGCTGTTTGCAGTGGCCCAGCTGCACTATGCAGTGCTGCAGCCTGCAGAGACGGTGAAAGATACCTGCTGGATTTGCCCCATTTCAATCCAGTTCCAGTGGATTTGCAGTCTCGTATGCTGTTGTGTAGTGGTCTGATACTGCTGTTCTTACCACTGATAAAAGCATAGGGCAGATAACTAATGATAGTTTTTAATTGCCTTAAGGTTTTTTTTCCTTATTTAAGGTGGGACCACTTCCAGGTGCTTACCTTCTCACTCAGGTTTCATTCTGTAACCTCAGAGATTGAGTGGGATGCTTGAGTTGACACGCTCCCTCTTCTGCAGTTCTTACAGGGTACTTAAATGAGCATGTTGCACTGTAACCGTTGACAGTTCCATAGCTCACAACAAGCCCTTGGAAATGACCTGCTTTCCTCATCTTGCTCTTGCATGAGGAACATACAAACTATGTCTTTCTGTTGTTCACAGCACAGGAAGATTCAGGATTTGTGTATGGATGCAGTGAAGGGCAAAATGGGTTCAGGGGTAGATTCAAGCTAAATTTTGCTGGAGTTTTATCTAGTGATGACTAGAAAGAAGGGGAAGAGGAACAGCACTAGTGACAATGATAGGGAGAAAGAATGGAATTGGAACGTGGATGGGAAAGAGAGATCCCTAAAGATATGCTCAACTCTTGGGGAGATGTGTGTGTTTATGTATGTGTATATATATGTGCACATATATAAATATATGTTTGTATGTATTTATGTTGTTAGAAAGTAAGTTGTGAGAAAAATCCAAAGAGGGAAATTCTACCTCTTCAGACTCTCCAGAGTTGAGTGTGTGTGAATGCATTACTCATCAGGGTTGTTTGTGTACTTCACTGCAAAATCTTCATTAAATTACAATAGTCTGCTTTACAAAAGTCTTTGTTAGGATAGTCCAGGAAACTTAGTGTCATTGCACCCCTGAAGTCTTCAACTTGGAATAACTGTGAAACCAAAGAACTAAAGCTATCTGCTGCCTGCAGCACACTCACAAAGAAGTCCTCAGATTTTTTATTGCATAAATGAATTAAATGCATATATGTCTTTCAAAGAATGCTTTTAATTCGCTATGCTGTCTATAGCTTTAGTTGTGGACAGCCTGGTTATAAGACTATATGTGAGAAGAGGCATAATATGGAGTGATAATAAGTTAAGCTAAGGATTCAAAGGCTCTCAAACCCAGCAAGGAAGATAGTTATTATTTTCTTGGAAATGTGTAGGTATAGAAATGCTGCTTCAAATCTTCCAAAGAAGGTTTCTCAATAGATTTGTCAAAATGCAACGTTGTAGAATTTCAACAAAATTTCAAGAAAAAAACTATCAAATTACCTTTGAAATATTTTCTGTTCCTTTTCCATGTGGCTCTTTGCCAGCTTGTGATGTGAAGGGAATCAGAGGGTCTCAGTGCCTGAGCAATGTTGGAAAATGGTTCCTGTCTGTTGCTCCTCCTAGAGAAAGTGTTCAAAATTGTTAATGTGGTGATAAAGGCATGGCTGTATTTTATCAGGCTGAAGAGCTTATAGATAGATTGTTTGGTTTTAGTTTTTTCCTGGCTTCTGGCAACAAAAAGTGCTGCTAGTGGTGATGCATTGTGCTTGATCCTGAATTAGAAGAAGATGTAAGATGGTGTGATGAAAAGTTATCTGCTACTGTGTCCGTTAAAACAGCAGGGAGTAGACTGGCCATGTGAATGCACGATGCAAAGCCTCAGAAACTTGGTTAGAATAGGCCAGGACAGCACTGTTTAGATATCCCTCATGTAAAAATTGCGAGGAGATAGCTACCTCACAGTAGCTATCTGTGATATTTTCGTGCCTTTCTTCACCATTTCCTGAAATTCACAGGTTAAAACCAGAGTTGTAGGAGAGGATAATTTTCTTTTATGTAGTTAACTTTATGGACTAACATACTTTTTTGACCTCACACTGAGTTTTTTATGTGTGTGTGTGTTTGTGCCCATAAAATACAGTTCTGATTAGACCTGGTGATTCCTTTACTTTAAGAAAAGAGCTAATTTTGATGCTATGCTTCTGAGTAATGGCTCTGTATGGGTATGTAGAAGGTGTTGTGTGGGATGGAATATTAATAAAATCATAGGTTTTATATTAAATACATAATTTTCAAAGATTCAAAGCCTTACTTGAAGACATTCAGGGGGACATTTAAAAAATAGAATACAAAACATAAATTGAAAAGATGGAGCTTTTCAAATCAGTGGTCCACTTAGTATTTGCAAAAACATGAGAATGCTTATTTGGATCTGTTAGGGGGCTTTTCTCCCATCTGCTTGTAAATTCATTTGACAGAAAAGCAAAGGAGAAGCATCTGATAAAACAATTTGCTGTAGCAAAATGCCTGTGGTTGGAGATGCCAGCTTATTTCAAGAGTGTGTGATGAGGGAGAGAAAAATAGGCATAGAAGGATGACATTGCTGAGGAAATGGGCAGGTTTGCATGACTCT